AATTCCAGCATTGTTTTCCAGGTTTACTCAGAATACCTTTTGCTTGTTCCAGACTCCATTGCATGAGGTCTGCCTGACACTGAGGCAATGCCTCATATGTCATTCCAATGCTTCCAACTGTGAATGTATAAAAATCTGACACCACTGGTTTCACACTTCTGATCTTTTTCTTGTGCGCTTGGTACTCTTCTGCGTATGCAATGAGCAAACCATGTGGGTTCAGTTCATCCGTGGCATCGTACTGATACAAGACCACCTTTGGGGAAGCATTTGAGCGTCGCACAGCATGCAAGTTCATGTCCATAAAAGCCGGTTCAGATTCTCGGCCAGTCTCCCAACCGGCTCGAAAGTTGATATCAGGTCGCTCAATAAAAACCTCGCGCATCAACGTTTCTGGCATCACCAGACCATACACGCCCGGATAGGAATCATCTTTAGAGATGAGCGAGAGAGATATGGCCTCGTTCTCAGTTGCACAAGCTGTGCGCTCAAATTCTTTCAGGGCTGCTTCTTGCGATTCTCGCGATTGAAAATAAATTGTGACGGATGCATCCTGCAATCCCGGCAGGAAGCATGAATGCAAATTGATTGATGATGAAATCAACAGGACATTGTCAAGCCATGAAAGAAACAACGGAAATCGTGCCATCAATATACCGGCCAAGCTTCTTTTGGGGAGGGTTCTATTTGCTTCTTGTGCTCGTTTCTGCTGATTTGAAGAAAGGGCACAAAACCTGAGAGGTAGTTCTTCTTTGCAGATTTTCCTTTCCTGAAGCAGGGTGAAGTTGCCCCGGATTGCCCAAGGAATGCGAAAAGAGATAGGGTCTGACAAGCTAGAACATGCTAGAAAAATGAACAATGCTCAAGCAAGCCCTGCTTGGCTGGTCACCTGCATGCAACACAAGGGTTGCAAAATCAGCAGCCCATCACATTCATTGCCAAGCTGCACATTTAGCCCTTTTCCAACTGCTGTCTGGTTCAACATCTTTGCCAAAGCATCTCCTGTAGTAGGTACTTTCGGCAAGCCAAAAGCACACCATGCATTGGAAATTGCTGTTCTGTCCCAAGTTGGGCTGAATACTGATAATATCTGATAATGTACTGATGATATAGTGGCTCAAACATGGCGCTATCCTTTGGGGACCGTGTCTATGCACGGCATGGATAGCATGGATAGCTTGCTTGGCAAGTTTCGACTTGTCGGCCGGTACACTGCAAACCACTGAGTCCCTCCAGGCGTCTGCGCAACGCCGCCAGGACCACTCTGATCACTCGAGCTGTAGAAATCGGCGAGCGCTTTGCGAGGATCAGAAGCCTAGGTCATACGGCCCAAGATTTCCCAAGCAGTTATACGGTGCCGTATACTTGCCAGCTGCGGAACACTTGCGCGAAGTCCTCATGATATTTTTAATGCCCAGCTTGTTGGAGCGATTTGACAGATCTGTTCGGGCCGTATTTGAGTCCCATTTGCTCGTTCAACGCTCTTTTCTGCATCAGAGCGTGTTACTAAAATCAGAAAGACCAGGACGTTTTCTCTCATCTTGACACAAAAACAATTTACAGTAATACGATGTACAGTACATACGTCTGTGAGAATGATGAGATATGATAAGATGCCCCGAACCTCTTAGCAATGACGCCAAGCCACGTAATTTTCCCGTTGCTTGAGCTCTAATTCCACCAAACGCTCGAATGTGTCGCGATCAAGGCAGAGTAGCTCGGCGTCAGTTGAAGCCTAGGATCGCAATCGCAGTCTGAAAAAATCCCATGTCGCGCCAAGCCTTGCAACCCAACTGGGTCGCACCAGGAATTCTCTCATTTCATTGTTTGATTTTGCATTTCCCATTGCTTGAAGCATCCAGAACCATTTGCCAAGGACAATGCTAAGGTCAGAGCCGTTACAGAAGCCGCACGATCCGTGCGATTGATGAAGGCCAACTCTCCAAACCTTTCACCTGAAGGGATTAGGTACCGCGACTGCAAGTAAAGAACCGCATTACGACAGCTACCAAAAAGCAGCACAATGTACCCAATAAGTAGCAATAAAATGCAATAAATTGCAATACGACAATATAGCAACATATAGCAACATATAGCAACTTCAAATTTACTCACAATGCAATAAACAACCCCAGAACAAATGACAATCTGTGATACCGTCGCCTGGACCATATCGCCTGACAACATGCTCCTCCAACTCTGATTTCTCAGAGCCAACCTGGCAAAGGAGATACATTGCCATTGGGCATGTAATGGTTTCGGCACTCGTGACTAGCAACAAATGCCATGCGGCACACAAATAAACTTGATTGAATGGGGCCAGGTGAACGATGTGCTTCACAAAGGGAACTAAAGGGAACTGGCAACCTTGTGCCCCCAAGCCATCGCCTGGTCAACCAGCAAGCTGACTGAGCATTCGCCGCCTGGCGTCACGAATTGCAAGCTGTGGTCTGCAGTTCGGCGTCGGGGCACTCGGAAGTGAATCAGTACACCTCCATTTGACTTTTTGAAGAAGGCTCCCTTCGAATAGAGACTTGAAAGATTTGAAAGCACCTTTTAGGCAACTGATCAAATTGCATTCCAGCGAGGCATCAGTTTGGAATGCACAAAATACTTACAACAAAATTCGCTAGGCAAATTTCAAATTAATTATCTGTGGGGAGGTTCTGAAGAGGGGGCTGCCTGACAATCCATTGAATGCTTCTGCCACCCCCAACTCTTGCCAAGACTACTCAGCACGATGTAAAGTTCCGCCGGCACAGTTTGCCCTTTTATGGGCTTTTGGCCACGCTGCACGATCTTTTGCCCCTGGATGATGATCTTTGCGCCTTTGGCGTAAGATCTCTTTTCCTGAGATGTAGCAGCCGGCGGCAGCAATCACAACGTACCCAAGGTCTGTCACAACATATCTGGCGTCTGGGAATTATCGACATTTTCCTGAGATCAGTGAGAGCCTTTTGCCATTCTATTCATGCACTGGCCGCAAATGCGACTGAAGTTGTATAATCATTTGGATTCATTTGGGTTGAAATATCCCGTGCTGGCAAGGAGCTACGATGTCTGTGATGCGAGCTATGAGCTCGTCATCAAAGGTCTCAAACATTGGAACCTTCGCAAAACGTGCCGAAACCAACCGGACCGTCGGAGGCAGGCGAGAAGGATTTGAAATGATCTGAAGTTTGCAAACGCAGAGATGATAGCCAAGCAAACTGCCAACTGTCCGAACAACCTTTCTTAAAAACCTTTGCCAGTATCTCATAGTATCTCCCTGCCACTGGTTGTTCATCTTGATATCGTAGTATTCTAGGTCTTTAATTCGTTCTTCCGGACTCAACTATGTCTGGCCTTCTTTTGTGTTTGCTGCCTGCCCCTAGGCATACCCTAGGCCTACACGAATCTCATGGCCCAAAAAGTATTGCCTCTGAAATAGGGCTGCACATGTCGGCAAAAGGTGGTAGAAGGACTTTAAAAAGAGGCTCGCATCCGGTCACGATACAGTGAGCCCATCCATGACCAACACATGACCAATGGCAACTGCACAGCCAAAAATATAATGTCAAATGTGTAATGTGAAGATATTTGAAGTTCATATGACTCATATTTATATATATACGTATATATATATATATTTATAATTTATAATCATTTACTATATATATATATTATATATAATATTATATAATTACTGAAATTGTAATTATATCATTTGAGGTAGATGAGTCAAATGAGTTTAAGGTAGCCAATCATCAATTGAATTTGATATGTCCATAGATCGCATGTTTCTCCGTCAAACTTCTTTCGCCGAATTAAGAATATAATCACAAAGAACTTGATTCACATCAAACCGGGCAAAGCAGCAAAAGCGTGCCAAATTTGACAAAACTACATGCGTTTGTATAAAACAGTGCATGTTTGCATGCCTATGCAGCTTACGTCCCTTCACGGGTAGTCACGTGTAATTCCTTTCCAGGCAGCTTTCCGCAAGTACTTTTCCTTCAAGCTTCGGGCAGCCATGGCCGAGCGGGTAATCACATTAAAGTACCTGCATGGACAAGGGAGCTCATCAGTATCGGCCCCTAAACTTGCAAACAGGCGTAAGTTAAGGAACAACAGGTCACAGAGTAGCTAGTAACAGCTAGTAAAAATAATTCATATCTTATAATTGTAGCTGGAACTTTGTTTGTGCACAGTATGAGCACTATGATCATAGTATGCTGCTGCAAATGCCAAGACATGTCAAGGCTAGCGGCCGAACCGCACAAAAAAAAACATGACAAGACTAGACGAACACATTCAACGCTGAGCTTTCCGAATCTCGAGTTCAGGGAGCCCGGGCACGTTGCACTGGTGAGCTTTCCCAGGACACAATCGGTAACAGCATCCACAGTCATGCGGCGAGGAAAGCCCCAAAGCATAGTATGTTCGCCGATAAAACTGCCAGGAGAGATCCTCTGAAGCTGCGATTTCACGGGGTGAAGACGGCTGCGTCATGTTAAGTACTGGCTCCAGCAAAAACTGACGATGTTGGATGTTTGTGTGGTCTCCTACAATGCGATCACCGGTAATTACTGCACGAACTGTTAGAGGCCTACCGAAGTTACGTTCTGAAAGAACTTTTGCCAACCCGGGCTGTGCACTTCAACATAAGCACAAAAATCACGACTTTAGGCAAGAGACGTCAAATTCAAAGTTGATGACCGCCTTATCAGGTCAAATAGATGTTCACACCGATCGGCATGTTGGCATGTGGCAAACAAACACATTATTGCCATAATAATAATTATTGTGATTAATTGTCTTGTATGCCGTTCAATATCGTTCAATAAGCACAATTTAGGCGAAATCGCACCAAGGTGAAGATGTCTGAAACGCTACAGCAAACGCATTCGAATCAAACGCAGCACATTTTTGCACGTATAGTAATTTAATACATAGTAGGGTTCCTTTGGAAACCACAACATGTCATGTGGCCTGAGCATGTTCTGGGACTCGCAAGCGTCTGTCTCGGCACATGCCCAGCCGCTCATTAAGACATACCCACTCCTCAGCTGGTCACACAATTGAACAGCACAAGAGGTGTACTGACACAACATGCAGTTAAAGCACAACTCCTTGTTTCATCTTGTTTCTACATGTTTCTACATGTCCCTGGTTGGGTCCGATTGGACTGTTATTGGACTGTTTTCAACGAGTTTCCTCTCATCTTCGCCCTTGGCGTAGATAGGTTTGCCCTGCTTTACACCTTGGCATCTGGGGGCCTTGAAAATCATGCTGCGCAGCCACACGTGGTGACCCTTCTCCACGTGCTGCTCCAAACCATGCTGTCCCCTCCCTCCTGTTTGTACCCATGTGCCTGTTGACTTAAAGCCCTTTGAATCCTTCAACATCTTTCAAATATTTTGCCGCAGAAGACATAGCCACATAGCTGATGCTCCAAGCAACACATGATTTCCATAGCGTCGACCAAATTTGACAAGTCCTGAGAAATATCCAAATCAAACAAGAGCAAACCTGACAAACCTAAAGCCCAAATCCAGTTGCATCTATAGATCTGTAGGTAACCGGAGATCAGTTGACACAACACCACAAGGAAAATAAAGCCATCGCGTCTCACATGTCCACAACAGGGAAAAAGGTAAAGTTGGAGGAGCAAAATCCGAGGCACTTCTGCATCAATGCCCTGAAACAGGGGACACTGCTTCAGAGCGACAGTGAGACTTTGCTGTTGCTCCGCCGTCTTCGAATATGAGGGTCGTATCCAATCAGCGTAACCTCTACCATTAAGGCAGGGGCCAAACGGCCAAACAGCGCCAAACATGTCCAGCCTGATGCCTCATATAATGCTCAACATATAATTACATATAATATCATATCATTACCCAGGAAAAAATGAAACAAGTGCTTTCATTGAATGGTACAGCAGGTATACCAAGAGGTGGGCCATGGCTTGAACATGTCAATGTGTAAAGGCGTAGTGCCTACAGCTACCTTTGCCAGCTGGGCAGCAAGAGTAATAGACTAATGTCAACCATTTCACACAAGTTACATACAAATATATGCAGGAATGAAATGGTGAAAGGGTCATGTCAAGCAGAAGGCTTTGTCTAGTGTCCGCTACTGAGATGGCGCAAACAGGTGCAGCTCAACTGGCGGCCAATCGCACAAGATCTTTAAGCTGCTTGGTGACAAATGTTGTAGGCTCCACTGGGTTCAGCAGAAACACCGCCTCTCCTGCGGTGGCGCTGACCAGATCAGAAACGCAAGTGCTACTGGAAAATATTGGAAACAAATTACAGTAACTCGGGCACCTTGGCCTCTCTCAAGGTTAGTGTGGGAAACTGAATGACAAAGGTTGCACACTGTTGCACAGAGTAATTTTAAAAAGAAAGAACTCGTCTTAAACGAATGCGTCTGGTGAGTAAAGCCTTTCCTCGTGGTGTCTCCGCCAACTCGTCATCACTGCCCTTGGGCAGGACAGTCTGTGAAGATCATCAAGTGGATATGTTATGCACACACATTAATTGTCTCTACCTAAAGCATCCTCAAATCACATGCAAACATCCAGCAAGCAAAGCTCATGACCTAGCACCAGTCCATTCAAAATATGGTTTGAGAGTCGTGAGTTGCATGAGTTGCATGGTGCAGCAGAGGTGGAAGACACTGAAAGGCACCCTGATGAATGGTTTTCGAATCATTTTCGAACTTGGCGAATCTTGGGTCTGCACTTTCGCCTCAAAACATGTAAACATGAACATCAAATCTGAACACACATCTAAACTAATTACTTCATTCAAAATCATTCAAGCACGCGTTGGGCCAGTTCTGTACATGCCAGCAATGCCAATAGTTCTAAGGTTTGGGGTATGTTTGCAGAATTTTCTCCACACACAGTGAAGTACCATCAGTCTCTTCAATTCGTTTGGCGATCTCTTGGGCTTTTTGAGTCATCTCATCTGAATTCATCGCCAACTTCACAGCCTCCACAACTTCCTCTTGGGAGGATGTGGCACGTTGGAAAGGGACTGCGGATGGTGCCACGCCCAGCCGCATCAGCTGCTTGGAGTTATAGAACTGGTCCAACATCACTGGGAGACAAACACTAGGAACACCCGAACGCAGTGCAGCTGCACAGGTTCCAGCACCAGCATGGTGCAAAATCACCTTGCACTTGGGGAACAGCACATCATGTGGTACAGACTTCACAACCAAAATCTCATTTTCAAGACCATCAGAGATGCTTACATCTGTCCACCCTGCACAAACGATCGCTTTGACCTTGAGTGTTCTTATGATGTTGTTGGCCAAGTCCATCAGTTCTTGTGGTCTGGGTGCGGGCATGGAGCCCAAACCAAGGTAAACCAGCGGAACCTCGCCACAGTTCTTCAGAAACTCCTTGAGCTTCGTATCAACCGACCCTTCTGGTGTTCTGGGAACGAATACAAAGTTTCGAAAGAAGAAATTCGATGGCCAATCCGCCGGAATCCTCTGGGTAGGAATGAATATTTCATGGAAAGCACCCACGAGCAAGAGTTCCTTCTCCTCGATGACGCTCATGAGGCCCCGCCTTCCCGTCATAGGATCCAACCCCAAACGTGTTCGAAAGGCATTGATATCTGATCCTTGCTGCATCCAAAGTGCCCAGTACAGAAAGTTGTAGGACAGCAAATTCAACCAGCCAAACCAATTGGATTCCATTACGAAGGGATTTGGAAACTCGGATGTAGGGAACAAAGGTCCGTACATCACTGGGACCCATGGTATCCCGAGCTTCTCGGCCACACAATATGTTTCGTGGAAACTAAGAGGTCCCGACACGATCATCTGCACATCTTTGGTGGTCTCCACCCAGTCATTCAGTGCCTGATCGTACCAAGTCTTCTTTCGACGTTCTGTCTCCTATGGCTGTCCAAATTCTGTCTGAAGTGTTGTACCCAGCCCATGGCACATCAACACTAGTCATGAAACTGGAATGACGTTTAGTGTGCACATGAATCTTGGCAACTGCAAAATGATATTCTTTTGCAATACTTTGAAAATCATTGAAACTTATATACCGAGAAAGGTCCTCCCATCGCCCGTGGGCCTCACCCAACTTAAAGACTTAGCCTATACTGTAGTTCCACCACAACATGAAAAGAAAAGGGATGATGATTCTTTTAAGGATTTTTTTTGTTTTTCAGTCTGGGGCAGTTTTCCTTGCTATTTGCTATACATTTTGGGGCTAAAATCTCTGATTTGCGTGCTATTTGCGGCATTTTGAAGCTAAAATCTCTCTGATTTGCGTGCTATTTGCTGCGTTTTTGAACTAGAATCTCTCATTTTGCATGCTATTTGCAGCATTTCGGAGCTGAAGTCGCAAATTTGGGTAGCTAAAATCGCAAATTTGCACGGCGTTTCATTCAGGGCTTCTTTAGGGTTTCATTTAGGGTTTTTTTAGGTCGTTTGTGGCTTCTTTGGGATATCATTTAGGGTCTCTTTAAGGTTTCATTTAGGGTTTCTTTAGGGTTTCTTTAGGGTTTAATTTAGGGTTTCTTTAGGGTTTAACTTGGGGTTTCTTTAGTGTTTCATTTAGGGTTTCTTTAGGGTTTAATTTGGGGTTTCTTTAGGGTTTCATTTAGGGTTTCTTTAGGGTCCGTTTAGGGTTTCTTTTAAGGTTTCTTTAGGGCTTCATTTAGGGTTCCTTTAGGGTTAAATTTCGGTTTTATTTTAGGGTTTCTTTAGGGTGTCGTTTAGGGTTTCTTTAGGGTGTCGTTTAGGGTTTCTTTAGGGTGTCGTTTAGGGTTTCTTTTAAGGTTTCTTTAGGGTGTCGCTTAGTTTTTTTTTAGGTTTTATTTATTGATGGTTTTGTTATTTTCTTACAACAGCATGCGTACAAACTCCTATACTCTATGTCTGTAGTTTTTGTGCAGTTTACATGAAATATATATATGCAATGTATTACATGAAATGTTATATGCAAACTACAATACTAACAAATGCCAAGAGCCAAGTGAAGTGAACGGCCAAAACCAAAGCCAAGCGAAGCCAAAGCCAAAAGCCAAAAGCCAAAAGCCAAGTGGGCACGCAAATGGGAGATTCTAGCTCCAAAATGCATGCAAAACAGAGATTTTAGCTCCAAAATGCAGCAAATAGGATCAAAGCTGCCCCAGGCTGAAAAACAAAAACAATTAAAAAAAACACACCCAAAAAATACCCTCCCATGAAAAGACGAGGGATGTGGATATGAAAAGTGCAATAAGAACCACATACAAACCAGGTGGACATGTAGAACCCAGCCTCCACTCAAACGAACCCCACCCAAAAAGCTCTGCAAACAGAAGATAATAACGTACAAGTATGATCCATTATGACTAATTAACGATCAATGATGAATGATCGTATGGTGCACATGCACAGCACATGTCCTTCATCATGGCCATCAGCTTTCCCTTGGCCAACATCTCCGCATACTCTTCTTCAAAAATGATCCCTACAGAATCTCCGGCTACAGCCCGAAACTCCAGGCCGAACTCTTCTGCGATGCCACGACTGCGTTCCTCTGAAATCAACAGCACGTCCCAGCCCTTGGAACGAAAACCGAATGCCAGCGCCACCAATGGCTGAAGATCACCTCGTGAACCCACGTTGCAAAATGCGCATTTCATTTTTTCCAAGTCGCACCTGCAAAGGGTGGAAGGAAATCGGAATTAAATAAGGCTTTAAGCTTTTCCTTTTCTTTCACTTGGCATTGAGCCGAACAGCTGCAAAATTAAGGATAGCCCTGGAGTTTGATGACAACCCAATCCAGTCACCTGGATCATTTGGCTTGGGCTGACATATGCACACAAAACCCACAATATTACATTGGATTGCAAAATAGTGACTCCAAATTCACACATTGATTCCATCAAAACAAACAACATTGAATTCATTGAATGCCCTGAAGTATCAGCTATGTGTCAGCTATGCACATACATATCCATACACGCCTATGCATGTTAAATCATTCTACGTATCACAATATATATGTATATATATATACACATATCATAAATTACATTGCTGATCATTGCTGTGTTGGTGAGCCAAGGGCTGCTCGCTGTCCAGCCCTTGCCTCATCAGTCTCGCAACTGGTCTCGAGTACAGAAACTTCTCTGGGAGCAATAATCAGTGAGACGACCTGACAGCTGCAGTAGATTTTCCATGCGAAGAACCTGCTTTCAACAAATTGCTTGCAGTGACCACTTCGCTTGCTATTGATTAGCACCCAAAACTTGCAGTCCCTTCCAGCGTTCTGTGCCTTATGGCTCAAGCCGCTGGCCCAGGTAAAGCAACCGCACGAGTCGAACATAATGCTCTGACTATGGCACTCTAATGGTTGCCTGTCTCTTGTTGTGGACAGCAGTGAATTGAACGGTTGCCAGTCTTGACTCTTCCATAAAAATGGAGGGCTTTGACTACATAGGAGGTGCCAGCCAATATTATAATATGGAGGTGCCAAGAGCAAAAATGGATCGCTTTGCCTAAGGGATGTCATGCGGAACACATACATGCAACCACATGTGGTCATGTATCTCTCAAATCACTGCTTGCAGAGTCAGAAAACTCATGCTAGTATTTATATTATTTTACTTGATCAGTGCTTCGATAGTTCTTGGTGTTGAAGTTCTGGAGGCCATGCGAGTTGCTGCGGCTTGGCTTGGTGCAAACCAAAAACGGTGGGATGTTTGTCAACATCCACCTATGCACACACACGTCTCTATTTGGATTTATTTGGTACTGATCATGTGTGACGGACCTCTTACAATTCTGCAAACAACATTGTGCTTGGAATATGCCTTGTAGCAATGAAACGCCACTGATTGAAACCAAACACACCGCCAATCCAAACGTGACCAACCCTATGCATCAACCTTTTGCTCAGTGCTTTCTCAGCGTGAGAGCAGTTCTTCCCGCTCACTGCCGATGATTGGCCTTGCGCACGCGCCAGTGGCACCTTTTTGATTTCCATCCCACAACAGTGCCACAAGACTTCCATCGAGCCTCATATGTGGGACACACCCCTTTGATGAATGCTGTTCAACATTGTTCAACAGTTGCTCCAGGCTTCAGGCATGACATTTGTGACAAAGTGGCAATGTAAGTCATCTTACTCATCTTGCAGCCGTCTACCACTGCAATACCGGTTGAGCACCTGTATGATGAGTTAAGAAGCTGGGTTGAGTGTCTTCTGTCATTTCCTCACATAATACGTCCGCACCTAGCAGAATCCACCTCTTCTTCATCACCTGGGCTGACACCCTAAATTCTAGCGATGCGCGTCGCTTCAATCGTAGAACTCACCGACGAATTGATACTGCACTGTACCGTTTGCGCATATCTGCACTCGCAAAAAAAACCATCATCATCATCATCATTATCATCATCATCGTCATCATCATCATCACCATCACCACCACCACCACCACCACCACCAGCACCAGCAGCACCAGCACCAGCAGCACCAGCACCAGCACCAGCAGCACCAGCACCAGCACCATCACCAGCACCATCACCATCACCATCACCATCATCATCATCATCATCATCATGATGCTCATGATCATGTTCATGCTCATGCTCATCCTCATCTCATAGTGACTGGTAAGGTCATCACAGGAATGGCAAACAAGCAACGACAAGTCACCAACGGAGTCGTTCACGGAAGGCCGCAGTTTCATGATTGCTGCCATAGAGTCCTTTCAGCATTGCTCAGCAAAAGGTTGAACGGGATGCCCAATGTTTCGCACAGGAAACAGAAAAAGTGCGCAGCAAGCTGTACTCGGGGGATGATTTTGCCTTCATAGGAGATGATTGCACAATGCGCTCACGCATTTCAGACTTTATATAAGTCCTTGAATGCCCTTTGTCCTTGAATGAATGTCATTATAAGAGATTATAGGAGTCATACGTGTGCATTCCCAGCCAAAGTTTCCATGCAACTTGGATAGCTTCCGCCACAAGAATTGGCATTCAAATTTGATCTTTAGATATCTTTAGTTCATCTCAAAGGCCGTGGGTCTCCAAGGTGTTGGGAAACCACACGGTTTCCCATGCGCCTCATCACCGTGAAACAGCGGCGAAGTTTGAACAGTTGACACGTCTGACTGACCCTGGCATCAAAAGAGCATGCACATTTCAATCCATATTATTTCTAACTATACATATACATAGATAATCATAGACCATAGATATAATTTCAGTATGCAACAGAACAGCATCATATATTTCAGCAAATTGCAATGAGAGTCCTGACTGCCTTCCAGTCAGTGTTCCAAGACTCGGTGGCATGTGGCAATTTCTGTTTGCATGTCAGCACACTAGCCATCACAAGCCTCCTCTTCGTCTTCCCAAGGCCCTGCAGGACAGCTGTACAATCTAATTACCAAGCAACCCTGTGCCCAATGCTGCTGAAAATCGGAACAACTCAGATAGTTTAAAAAAATGCCCGTCACCGTCACTTCGCAAAGTTCTGGCGGCTAGTGTTTGGAACTGTTGGTTGGGCAGCGGAAAACCAAAATCCCAACTCGGTCACCGCCTCACAAGGTGCGGCTAAGGTCTCAGCAGCGGCAGCCTTTTGGACTGCACCAGCGTCGCCATCTGGCGGTTCTCGCGAGAGTTCCCTCCCTTAAGCCACAGATGTAAGGGAGGCAAAAGGAATTGAAGTATGAAATGCCATTTGTGTTATACGCAAATCACACTGGTGAAAAAGTGAAGGGTAAAATTAAATTAGGTGAAAGATCCCCTCACACGTGCATCGGCTAAATCGCCAATTCGACATGCTCCTGGTGGGGCTGAGGCTCGAGCATCGCCTTGAAAGTTGTAGCCTTCTTCGCCAATGTGTTTTGTACACAGGCGGCAGGCTTGGCACCCATAGATGGTCTGTTGCCCATCTGTTCTTCCAAAAACGCAGTTCAGGTCAGCGTGCCATATGTTGCTGTGAGGGAGGATGTAGACCTCCGTGTTCTCCAGCATGCGCACGAAGTCAGGGCGCAGGTGCTCGTACTTGGCCTTCCAAAGGCGAGCCTCATCTCGGGCGTCGATCGTCAGCTGTTGCTTCTTCATGAGCTCGGCCTCCAAAGACTTTCGATATTCTCGAAGAGTCATCACCTCCTCATACATGGCGCGGAAGGTCGCCTCATCTTCCGGGGTCATGACCGTTCGTGTGACCACACTGGAAGGGGCTGTCTCTTCCTCTGGTTCAGCTTGATCTCCTTGATGTTGATGTCGTCGATGTAGCATCACCCAGCCAAAGAGCAACATCATGATCGTCGTGAAGACCATGAAGAGGACCTTGAAGGTGTCCAGGAAGTAGTGCTCGGTCAGGGTCTGCTCATTCACATTGGGCATCTCTGTTTCGGTGTTGTTGGTCTTGTTGTCATAGTCCAGGGCGTTCACCACGTTCAGCAGGCCAGCGAACATTGCGTGCATCGCCCTTCCAGGCTTCTTGATGGCGTACATCTCAGCTCCTTTCTTGCGCTCGTTGGCCGTCTTGCGCTTGGCAGCTTGGAAGGTCAGGTCGGACTTCAAGCGGGTCTGATGACTCCGAAGACGGTCTGCCAAAAGTTGGGCCGCCGATTCCTTCGTCAAGCCATCTGCATACTGCAGCTCAGAGCTAACCCATGAAGTGCGGGCTCCGCAACACTTCAACTTGTCCTGGGTGACCAAAACCTCAATTGTGGTTCTTTTATCAGCTCCTGTCCCAGCTTGCACCTCCTCCTTGATCAGCAGGTCATAGAGGGCCTTGGCGTCGACCACCAAGCGAGGTGCATTGAAAAGCTTGGCTGTGTTCACATCGTCCAGAACCAACCGTGGGGACCAAGTGGGGTTCCAAAACGTAGATGCAAAAAGAAGTGCATCTGCTGCTTCTGAAGCGCCTTGGCTCTCAGCGCTCAAGGTTGAGCGTGCCACTCGTGGCAGTTTCCAGCTTCTCCAGTCCAACACATTGTACCATCCTTCTTCGCCTTCTGCAACCTTTTTGTTCACCATCACAAGCATGTAGCCGCCTTGGCTGCTAAGGTCGTTGCGGCAGGCAAAGGAGGCATCGCTATAGGCAATCATGGTAAGGTCTTTCTTGTCCCCCAAGTAGCGGTATTCCAATCCAACATCTGCATTGGTTTTCGCCATCCTCAGGGTTTTGTTCGCTGAATTCAGCGTCTTGATTGTGGCCTTGGTCACATCGCCAGCCAGCATAGAGACCTGTGATTGCAAATGCGGTGAGGACTGTGTCGCAGGCCATTGCATTGCTCCAATCAACCCACGTAGTTGTGTCCGCTCACTTTCGGTCACTGGAAGATCTTCTTGATTCTTGCGCTCCTTGGAGATGCTGATAGGCTTTTGCTTGTGCAGGTACTTCTCCTGGTGGAGTCGCCAGTGATTGTTGTTGACCTTGTCCACCTGGCAGCCGCAATATTCAAGATGATCTCCATTCAGCCATTCACGAAAGCTGAAGACTTCCTTGAGGGACTTCTGGAGCTGCGTGGCGTACTCATTGTTGGGCATCAGGCACCCAAACAAATCATCCACATGCATGCCAAACATGCCAATCAGTTGCGGTTCCACTCCAAGTGCATGAGCTTGATGAGGATCCTGGTCGAAGGCCAGAAACAGGCAGGCATCCAAAGGGTGTTGTATGATGCTACCCTTGCCAATCTTCAGGAAACGCTCGGTGGCTTCCTCATACCAGGCACGTGGGGCATCACAAAGGCCATAGATGGGTTTCACCAACTTCATCAACTTTCCGCTGTCTCGCTCAATCCCCAAGATGGTTTCAGCATCTTTGGGAAGGCGCACCCATATCTCACGCGTCCCATCAGCCTTGAAGCCCTTGCCTTGCAGGAAGGCTGTGCTCACATCACTGGTGAACGGCTCCATGCCCAGCATAGTTGCCACTGTAAGGATCAATCCCCTTGACAGTCTGGTCAATGTAGGGCTCGTCGTTGACAAAGATCATCAAAGATCCATTCAGAGCATCTGGGTCACGAAAACCTTGAACAACCAATCTGGCATTTGCCCTGGGAGAGCCATCTGGGTTCTTCTTCCAGCCAAGGATGAACTTCGCCTTCAAGATGCGGTCTTCTGGAACTCCTTGTCCTTGGTCAAATTGTCAGACGGAGTTGTCAAAGAAAGACTGCAGCTCCTTCATCTTTGCCTCTCTGAAGGCCATCCTATCCTCAAGGCTCATGTAGCGCTCATTGAGGGGCTGGTTGCTAGGCTCCTGGGCATAGCACTGCTCCAAGTTCTGCTGAAAGAGCTCCTTTGCTTGCTTCCGCCAAGCTGGGAGGATCTTGAAGCGCGTGTAGCCAGTCCACAGGTTGTTGGCATACTTCTTCTTGAGGTTGCCACTCTTCCACTTTTCACGGAACAGACAGTTCCCCATACTGACCACCTTCTTCTTGTCCAGGAAGTGCAATGGCAAAGGGCAGGTGTCTTCGTCAGGGATGTAGTCCTGCTGCCTCGGGGCATAGTGACGTCGGGTCAGGTAGTTGCCATTGAGCTCCCAGGCATCCATCACACTGTCATCAAGGACCATGTGGCTGTGTTCATGTCTCCATCCTCTGGGCAACTTGGTCTTCTCATTGAGGTCCACCGTGAAGGAGAGTTGGCCATCTTCTTCATCATGTAGAGGTCGTTCTGAATAGGGTGTCACTCTAGGCAAAGTCCGTGGAGCCGGGCCATACGTTCTTGGCAGGACCATTGCCTCTTGTTGTTCATGTCGTCGTCGTTGTTGTTCAAACGTCGGTCGGCCAGCTTGTGAAGGTACTTGAGAAGGTTGTGCTGGTTGAACAGGTTATGGGGCTTGTTGAGGTTGTGCAGGAAGAGGTTGATCTTCAGGAAGTAGTGCAGGAGGTGGTAGTCGTCCATGTGGTGTAGCTTGTTGGCCTGGTGGTTCTTCCATCGGTTCCATCACACTGCCAGCAGGTGTGGGCAGCAGAGTTCGTTGATCTTGTCCATCATCCATGGGTTCGGCCAAAATGGCCTGTGTTGCTGCATTGTCTGAAGGGCCTCCACCATCAGCTCCTCGCATGTCCTCATCGTCGGCGATGCTCGGGCTCGGAGACACTGATGGCTGTCCTCTGAAGGGGGCAGTTGGATCATCATCTGGTCCACCAGCGCCGCCAGAAGTGGGTCCACCTCCGCTGAAAAGCTGTCGCATCTCCCCATCTGAATCGCTGGTCTGCAAGCCAGCGTCCACCACAAAGGTTGTTGTCCCAGTCCAACTGTAGTGCATCCTCCGATCAGCATCAGGACCATTCCATTCATCTCGCACCACCAAAGTCTCAGGATTGGGTCCACCTCTGCGGATGTGGGTGACGCGCTCATTGGTGAACAGGTGGAAGGGAACCTCGTCGTAGAGCAGGTCCGGCACGAAGAGTTGTTGTCGTCCTTGGTTGTGGATCCTGGTCCAGGTCCTTCCATCATCACTAGCTTGCCATCGATCTTGCAAGGGCTCGGCCTCAAAGTCGCCCATCTCGTGGTCAAGCTCCTCCGCCTCATCTTCTGATGCCACTTCTTCTCGCTTGCGCTTGTTGGACTTTGGCAAGTCGATGTAGTGCGTCACACCGCGATTGCGGACTTTCATCAAGGCCAGCTTGGCACGGTCGATGGAGTCCATGGCTCTGGATTCATCGTTCTCAGGATGCATTGCTGGGCGAACATGTTCTGGGGCTGCACGAAGTAGGGTTGTGCCATGAGCCAGCCAGTAGATGTCGGCATGAGGTCCAGCTTCCGATGTCTCCTTCATCACCACCACTGCGGGTCCACGCCATCGAAGCTTAGGGCCGTTTGCAGGTCCATCTCTCCAGTAGTAGCATCTGTCACCTGAGTTGAGGACCAAGGGCTGGCCCACAAACTTCCGGAGAAGAGCTCTGCGAAGTCGAGCATCAATGTTGGCCTCGGTGATGGCCTTGGCAGCTGATGCTTGCAGTTCCAACTTCTCCTTGAAGGCTTCAGTGGGATCCAAGTGGATTGGGGTGATCTGCTCCTCCATCAGCAAGCCAGGTATGCGGGGTGTATATCCCATGGCCCACTGCACCGGGGAGTACCCGGAGACATTTGGCATCCTGTTAACCTGAGGAATCACGTAGCACAGTGCTGTGATCATCGCCTCAGGGGTCTGAGCAATGGCAGGGTTGTCCGTGAGGAAGGCAGTCAGTGCTCGTCGAACAACTTGATGCCGTCGCTCCAAGACAGCCAAGCGAGTGTGGCTTTCTCCAGGGCTGATCTTGAGCTCCACTCCTTGCTCCGTGCACCATTGTCGCATGCCATCTGAACACCAGGCTCGATGCTCATCCACAAAGAGTCGCTTCATTGGGCCAAAACTTCGGACCCATCCACGTTCCATCTGCTTGATGAACTCCTCAGTGGACTCAGTTCGAAGCTCTCGTCCTGAAAGAAGTCTTGTGGTGGCATCGCTCATCATGAGCACTGGTGTGGCCTTTCTGCGACCTGGGACATGCACCCAAAGAGTGTCAGCTTGAACTCGATCATTGAAGTGTGTCGGCCGTGGAACTGAAGACACTGGATGTCCAATCGGCCTCTTGTGCAAATCGCAGGTGTTGCACTGGTGCTCCTTGGCACCTTGAATCATCTCGGCGCTTGCTCCTTGACGTTCCAGAAGCTTCATAAGCTCACCACTTGTAGGATGCCCCAAGTTGCGGTGCAATCGCATGATGGTGCGCTTGACATCCTGGGCTGAAGTGCCTCTCAGTCTTCCAAGAGCTCCTTGAGGTGCTTTCCTGGGATCAGCTTCATCTGGATTCAGGACGGGGTCGCCCTCTGGAGGTGCTTGTTCTTCTTCTCCTTGTTCCGCATCATCATTGGTGTTGTTCTCCAGGGGGAACTCCTCCTCAGTGGCTTCTGCATCGTCATTGGCATAGGCCTCCTCCACAAACTCATTCTCATAGATCCTGCAGACGGTGTCGTAGACGGCATTGCAAAGTCCTGGTTGATAGGCTCCAGAAGCTCGTGCTCGGTTGCCAATCTTCGGACTTGAACCTTCAATGGGAAGGTGTTCATGATTTCCCACACAAAGTCGGGTCATCTCCTCAGCAGCTTCAAAAGAGGACCATCTCAGCTGCGTCGGCTTCTTGATGTACATCCAGTCGCCATAGCTGTCGGGCAACATGGTGCCGAACTGGCACTGGTCCAGGAGACTGTCAAAGCCATCATCCTCCAGAGACTTCAATGTCTTGGTCTTCCATGAAACAGCGTACCTGGGCTGCTCCAAACCAGCATGGCGTCCTTCTCGTTTCTGTTTCATGAAGGAGCGGGAGCACAGTCGTAGATGAGTGGCTTCCTGGAAATCACGTTCAGCTTCCAACGCCTCGATCTGGGCCAAGGTGTGCAGGTTCAAGTTCTGCAGGGTTGACCACTTCTTGCATGGGGGTGCATACCAAATGAAGTCAGGACATTCTTTGTCTTGTAGCTCCAAGAAGGCTCGTCTGTTGGATGCCTTCTCGAAGTCCCAACCATTGGTGAGGTCGAAGCTTCGCACCTTCCATCCATTTCTCTCAAAGGTCTTGGACAGCAAGCCATCGCCACTGTAGACCTCCCAGAAGACTCGTTGGCCGGTTGTGTGGGTGTTCAAGATCTCTTCAGTGGTGCTCGTCCTTCGATTGCCCCATACATGGAAGTGCATGTACATGGTCTTCATCAGCTTGTCAGTGATCTCTCTGCGGATGTCCTTGGGCTCGGAAAACTCAGGCATCACTTTCTCCTTGGGGGACATCGCTGATGTGCCAATGTAGTTGAGGTAGAAAGCTTTCTCAGGAGGGGATCTTCCAGTCGCCGTCAGGTAGTCCACCAGGGTGACATAGGCAGAGGTGTCCTTGGTGTTCTCGATGTGGCCATAGGTCTCATCCGTGATGTAGTCGAAGTTCACCAAGGTTCCTTCAGGATCTTCAAAAACTCCATCATCCAATTGAAGAAGATATTCACCTCGCTCTCCAATCACCGCAGGCTTCCACTCATTGTTCAAGACAGAGATGGTGTTGGATGAAAAATCTGTTTTCACCTGCAACGCAGCAAGGATTGGACGACCAATGAGGAGAGGGGTGTTGCCCTCGACGACGAAGCATTCGATGTAGCCATGTTGTTGTTGTTGTACTCAAACAGGCAAACGAACTGACCAGGCAGCTTCTCGTCGAGCATCACCGCCAAATGCAAAGATCTTCTCCGTAGGGTAGAACTTGTATGTGGCGGTCTTCACTCCCTTCTCGCCCAAATGGTCCATGACCTTCATCAGGGTGTTGTGTCCAATCACCATGCTGGAGGCTCCACCATCCTGTATTCCAAACCAACCTTTCGGACCCAGGTGCGGTACTCCATCGTCTGCATGAAGGGCTTCATCGGTCACCATCATCGCGTCAGCAGTCTTTGGCCTCTTGGAGGGTGAAGACGTCGATGAATTTCCTTTCGAAGTCGGTGACCCATTGGGGCATTGTGCCGCCAAATGTCCAGCCTTTCCACAAACGAAGCACGTCGCAGATCCACCAAAGAATGCAGAGGTTCTTGATGGAATGGATCCCTTCTGACGGGGGTTGGCATTTCGGCCCTTTCCTTTGGAAGAGAACCCCTTTTTCTTGCCCTTGCCTTTGGACTTGCTTTTGCCGCCAGGAGAAACGGGGAGTTGCGAAGTAGCTCCACCACCAGCTGCATCAGGAGCCAAAGCCACAACTGGATAATATCCACGTGCTGCACGAAGGTTGGCGAATTGACGCCGGGCATCTAAGTAGGCAGCGTAGGCTTCTTCCATTGCTCCATCATAGTCTTGAAAGTCGTCAGCCTGGTAGTAGGTCTCTTCGATGTTGTCCTCAGCTTCATAGTTCTCCCAAGCGGTGTCATTGTCCTGGTCCATGGTGTCCTCATAGTAGGCGTCCTCGGTCTTGGCAAAGCCCTGGATGTAGTCATCCTCCATGAACTCCTCATCCACCACCTCATAGGCTTCCTCAGCGGCATAGGCATGCTGTCGGCGAGGCCATCGTTGATGGAGCTTGGCAGCTTGGGCATTTGCACCCCATCGGACATCGCTCCGTCCGCGATAGTCCTGGCCGAAGAGGTAGTACATCGCCTCCTCGACTTTGACCTCTTCCAGGGACGTGCACTGCGTCTGCACCATCTGCCTCTGCTCATAGGTCAGGCTTGACCTCCTCAGCATCAACCAGCCGCTCACCGTATCAGGCAGGGTGATCTTGTGCTTCTCCAACTCGCGTCGAGCTTCTCGATGGTCTGCACAGTACTGCATAAGGCTCTGGTCGCCTCTCCTGGTCGAGCCATAGAAGAACTTCTCCAGCGCCCGAGGCATTTCAACACGATCATCATACTTGAAGCACTTGTCCAACTGAACCAACACCTGGTCGAATCCAGTCTCGTCCTCGGACACCTTGTCAACCATGTGCTCCACCTGCCGCCAGGAGATTCCTGACAGCGAAGTCAGTAGGTTGATCGTGGCCTCTTTGCTTTTCTTCTGCAGATCCATCTTTTTCTGGTAAAGCTTGATGCGCTTCCGCCATTCCTTGTAGTCCTGGGGCTTGTTGGAGAACAAGGGGATGTAGTTATCCCGCGCAGTGTCACCAACGTGGCTTGAGGCAGCCGTAGGTGAAGTCGCCATAGAGCAAGGCCAGGGCGTCGATGATGTCCACCAAGTAGCGCCCACAAAGGCCCAAAGGCAACGGAGCCACGCTCCGCTACCAATGTTGGTTGGGCAGCGGAAAACCAAAATCCCAACTCGGTCACCGCCTCACAAGGTGCGGCTAAGGTCTCAGCAGCGGCAGCCTTTTGGACTGCACCAGCGTCGCCATCTGGCGGTTCTCGCGAGAGTTCCCTCCCTTAAGCCACAGATGTAAGGGAGGCAAAAGGAATTGAAGTATGAAATGCCATTTGTGTTATACGCAAATCACAGGAACATTTTGGAACCCATTTGCCAGCCTAAAGAAACTTGACCGGCTTTCTAAACTGTGTAAACAGTACAGTAACTGGCCTTTTTGGATCTTTTTGGTACATTTGGTGAAGTCCTTTGCGGCCACCAGAATCTCCCACATTGTGCAAAACATATGTCCATTTCTCGTCTATGCAACAACTTTGCTGCCGGCCCTGTCAAAACCCCTGCAAACTTCCCCGGCCCCAGCCTAACAAACCTTGCTTCTCTTCTGGTGTTCGGGGGTCATCCTGGAAATCAAAGCCAGTTTTCAAGCTCGAGGCAAAAGTTGCTTGGCAATGTTTCCGCTGCTATTTAGCCAAAGGTTCTCCTACATAGAAATTACATGTGAAAAACATCAATGTTTCTGAGCCATTCTGGGCGGTGCATGCAAGGAAAACACATGGCTTAAGGTATCCTCTAAAATGATACCAAAAATGTCCCTCTACAAAATCAAAAACCTGTTTGGGGATGATTCAAGTCTCCCGCAAAAAAATGCTTTGTGCCAAACGTCAACGTGTTGGATTTTGTAGAGGATTCTTTTGGAGGCATGAAAAAAAGTGAAAAAACACTGCACTTCATCCATGAAGCAACAAACACCATAAACACCCCCCCTCCTTCTCACTGCCTTCGTCCTGGCACCGGATCGCAAAAAACTACATTCGAAGGAGCATCTGAGGATGAAAGGCCCTGTGATCAGGGTGAAGGCGAGAACCTCAAGTTGCTGAGGCTGCAGAATTCCTTTCACTATCGCTCAGTTTCCAAAATCTTCCAAACCTGTTCGGTTGATTTCGGTTCCAACATCATATTGATTGCTCTAATTGCAATCCTGGACAAAGTTTGAGGTTTGGAGGACCTCCTGTCTATGGCTGCGTGATTCTCTAGGCATACACTTGAAATACCTCACATTTGATGACATTTTTTTTTTGGCTCTTGCCAGCTTCATGAAACACTCAGCAGTAAAACAAGCTCCCCTATAGATTTCCACATTGCAATAGCGCAACTCAAAACATGCCAGGAGCACAATAGGATACCTCCAACCGATGTCATGCACAAGTGATGTCTTGCAGATTCGACGGAGGCATAGTTCTACCATTCAATCCACATTTATCGACAGAACTCTTCCACGGCATCTATCTTATTATCTATGTATCAAACCTGTATAACTATAATTCATCCCTGAATCCATTTTATTCTTGTCTAAACCTATCGATACATCAGTCATCATCAATCCTTCCAGGTTGCACCGCTTCGCCTCTCCCTAGTTCTGTCCAACCTTCGTAGAAGTGGGTCCCAGAAAGGTGCTCCAGCCCAATGGCTCCAGCCCCAGAATCTTGCCTTGATGGAGACCACCTGGCGAGAAACCATGAGAAAATGCATCGTGCGAATGTACATAAACTATCACTAAGTTACAGTTACACGAAGCATATCTACACCAGGTCTCACGCAATACACTTCTGAATAGTAATCCAGATATATCCAAATTAATTTTTGTGGTGTTGACTCTTGGACATTGCGTCTGGCATAAGTATGCACCAATTCAAAGTGGAGCAGGATGTTCTTGCGTTGGAAATGAACGTGTGAAATCATAGTGGCATTTGTGTCGCAGCTTCGCTTGATTTTTCAACGCCAGGACAATCAAAACCAAGCCTCAAAAATATCAGTCAAACAAAACCTTGCAGGGAGGTTGCTTTGAGTGTGGAAATTGAAATCGCAGAAAGCGGCCACTTGCGGCCACTTGCGGCCACTCGCTGGGAGCGGCCAATTGCGGCCACTTGCGGCCACTCGAGTGGCTGAGGTATTTATCTTTGGGAAGGGTTCTGGAAGGGTTTCCTGCTTGGCCAAACGTGTGAAGTACCAGCTACTACAAGGGCAAACCATTTTAGACCATTGGTATGCTTAGATAACTTACATATGTTCATTTGTTGCACAGGCACTGGCCTACTTGTAGAAGAACAAAAATTGGCAGAAATAGTTTCAGCTGACTTGATTATCCCTGAAATTCATTGGCATTGGGTTGTACCTGCTTACCTACCCTTGGAGGTATTTATCTTTGGGAAGGGTTCTGGAATGGTTTCCTGCTTGGCCAAACGTGTGAGGTACCAGCTACTGCAAGGGGAAACCATTTTAGACCATTTGTATGCTTGGATAGCTTAGATAGCTTAGATAGCTTAGATATGTTCATTTGTTGCACAGGCATTGGTCTACTTGTAGAAGAACAAAAGATGGCAGAAACAGTTTTAGCTGACTTGATTATCCCTGAAATTCGTTTGTCTGTCACTACTGTACAGCTGTTTTCAGTTGGGGAAAATTTCTACCTACCAATTTGCCGCTCACTTCACCTATTGGGCCCTTTCTTTCAGAGATGTTGAGCTAGACAATATTTGACCCACGCCTTTTCGGAATTAAACCCCAAAAAACAGCCCAAATGCATGCAAATCTCTAGCAAATGCACGTACATTTTCGACGCGGGATTTTGCAGCCTCTTGTGACACAACATGCAAAAGCCACTTTATGTGTGCCTCAGGTGACGGCAAAAGAAGCAAACATGCAAAAAAAACAAAAACATGCATTGTTGCGGTGAATGCAAAGGTAAAGGTACCGCTAACCACTTCAAAACTGAGCTGAACCCACAAGTTCCCCCAGTCAGAAATGTTCTTACAAGAGATCAAGAAACAAACTGAACTGTCAATTTGTCAATTTTTCTACCGTGTATGCTTACGCGACCGGAGGTGCTACAATGATTTTTTTTTCATTCTAGAACCCTCCGTGTTTATCCCTAAGGGGGGGGGTATTCTAGAACTTTCCAACTTGAGGGGATGTAAATGTCCACTTGTTCGTTATCAATGCCTTATTGTTGATGTTTGATTCCGTTCTCAAATTAAGGTGTTCAACCACTGTTGCCCAGTTGTATACTCAGCCAAGAGGGCTTCTGGGTCAACCCGGTTCAATGGGTTGTATCCCCAAATGTTGCGAGATCGCCGCAGTGTTCCATATCTGTGTCAAATCCGAATGCTGAATGCTTACACTTCGACTTTTTGATGGTGTGATCCCAAGGTTTAGTGGTCAAACTTCAGATTTCTTGGACAAATCCATTTTTTCACGGACGCATCCCCCAACTTTCTGGGTCAACTGCAAGACTGCAAGAGATCACTGGGGGAACGACATGACTGACCTGGTGCTGCCTGTGGTGATCGACCCCGTGAAGGTGTCAGACGAGATCCTCTACATGACCTGGTTCAGCGCAATCGGGCACCAAACAGGGTTACTGTGGTGATGAACGGTGGGTCTGTGGTTGAGATTCGAGATCGACCTGGGCGGCGCCTTTGTGGAGGATAGCTTCGGTGATCCTTTTTTTGGAACAAAAATACACTATGAGGCGGTTCCCTCTACTTCTACCCCAGTGACAGCTGCTCCAGAGGGATCAACACCCAGGACTATAGCTCAACTGCATCGGCACCGGCAGCAACGCTTCGGGAGAGATCTCCACACAGGCCTGCTCTTCGAGCCTCAAGCAACCTGAGGTGCATGTGGAAGGGCCCCATAGTTGATGATGAGGGCACACCGGGCACACCAAAGAGAAGATCCCGTTCACCTTCACCAGCCAAGAACTGTGACTACGGGACCTTGTCCTCCAGCCAATCCACTTCGAGGCAAGAGGTTAGAGAAGTAATTGCTCAACGATTAGCGGAGGATCTCTCCGAAAGCCCGAGGACACCAAGTCCTGCAACAATAGTTGCTCAGTCCAGCCCAGCTGCCGAGGCTGAAAAGGCATTCCAGCGGTGCCCCACTCCAGAACACTTCCCAGGGCATAAGCCACCTGAAGGTCTACGTGTGCGTGATGAGATTCAGTGGTTTTGTGGGCTTCATGCCAACTGGGACGCTGTTGAACAGGGACGGCGCCCTCGCACCTCCAAGACGACCAGCTTCCACTCCAGCAACAACGGCTGCCGCTTCAACAACGGCTGCCGCTTCAACAACGGCTGCCGCTTCAACAACGGCTGCAACTTACACCAACGAATCTGATTGCAGTCATTGGTGGGGCGTCTACTTCTACAACCACTGCTGCCGCTGTATCTGCCCGGGCTGCCGACGTGGAAGCTCCTTCGAGGCAGCGTGCTGTTCAGAAGAAAGCTGAACACAAGACGCAACCACCGGTGGACTTCAAGGGCCACATGGCTGGATCCAACAACTTCCCCGCAGTGATCTGCTGTTCTGCTCTCCGAGCCCTACTACAAGATCCTCCTGCTCCGCTACCAGCACAAGTCGACACACTGCAGGCTCTTCCTTCCGTTTCAACTCTTCCTTTCTATTCGTTGCGTCTGTGCCTTCGTATCAACTCTCCTGTCTTGCTCGTTTAGCTCCATCCTTTCAATTCGTTGCGTCCATCCTTTCGTTTCAACTCTTCCCTCCTATTTGTTATTTCTTTCCTTTCGTTTCAACTCTCACCTCACGTTTCCAGGAAAAATTGAAAAAAATGCAGTTCGCGAGAAAAGCAATTATTTATAATTTTTTTCAAGCTTTTAAGGGTGGGGCCATTCGGGCTGGTATTTGCCGTCCAAGCAGCCACTTGCGGCCACTTGCGGCCACTTGCGGCCACTTGCGGCCACTTGCCCTAGCGGCCACTTGCGGCCACTTGCGGCCACTCGAGTGGCTGCAAGTGGCTGCAAGTGGCTGCTTTTTTGAATTTCAAATACCGCGCGTTTTGCGACCTCAACGAAACCTTGGCATGAAAGGTGACCCATGGTGACCCTGCCTCTGCACCATGCCTTGGAGCCTGGAGCACACATCGATACAAATTTATGGATTACAAGTGCGCACGTCACCTACTGCCCACAACCTTGGTGACAACATGTGACAATTCATTCGCAGACTTGGCCTGGGTGCATCCTACTCCTTTGTGGTTTGATGGGAATTTGAGGACCGATAGCCGTGCCTGGCAATGCATAGGTGCAGCCAACTAACCTGACGAAAACAGCAGTTTAAAATTCGGTTCGTTGATGCTGTCTGAAATCCATCTTTGTGACATGTGGTACCAATTGCGCGCGCACGTGCAATGGTTTACTCAAGATTTTAAAGCGTGCCAACAACACGTTGTGACATCAAGAAAGATGTCCTTTGTTGTGTGCGAAAGACAAACTAGAGCATCATGCGTTTAGCAGATCCATACGTATAGGGCCGAGGACATGAAAGCGTGGCAGCTACTGCTCGACTGGTTGACCCCAGCTGAAACGTTGAACTGACATGTTGAACAAAACGAAAGAATGACCAGTCATTTTCAAGACACATCTCACATCATATCACTGCTAATTTCTGGGTCCACGCAAACGATGGCGTATTTCCGTATTTGTGCGACAGCACCTTCTGAAGCCCAGCATTGTGTAGCGACCCTTACCGAAGCGTCTTGAAGTCTTTTTTTTTGCGGCATGCCATGCAAACCAACGGAATGAATGAAAAGATCAAGGAAATCTGAATGCGAAATGAAATGATCTACCCCACCGCCAACCATAGTGAAATTAGTCCTTCTATGCCTCTCCAATCTCTACACATCTCTACAGGCACCTGCTCCTGATCACCTCCTCTCAGAGGTGCAGGTCGAGCAGATTCCTCTGGCTCCACCTCTGATCGACGATTGGATGCTGGTGGTTTCGCTCCCAGTCTCTCCAAGGGAAATGACAAATGAAATGACCACATTGTCACTGCATATTACTGCATATTACTGCATATCACTGCATCATTGTATAACGTGGCTGACAAGAACCATTCAATATGATCTGAGTCTGGCAGGCCAGCGTGACTGATCGTTCACACTGCGCATTCATTTATCACGTGCTCCTAAGGGGAAGGCGCAAAAGCAAACCATATCCCCAATTTGTACTTGATCCTTAGGCATACCCCTGCTTGGATGATTTATAACCCCCCTAAAATGGTTGATAGTTAGGGATGGTTTCTTATGGCTCCAATATTATGTGATGCCACAAAGGCAGGTCATGCAAACTACACACAGCCCAGTTGCTGTCAACAGGTTTTCTCCATCACAGGGAACAGCGCTGTAGCGCACCCTGAGCACCGGCAAAAGTATGTGCTGAAGACTAGATTCAAAATTGTCAAAATCACAGTTGGGACTGTAAATCACAGTTGGGATTGTAAGGACACTGACAAATGATAACTACGGAAAGATCATGTCCAAAGAGTTGCCAAGCATGAAAGCTAGTTCTCCGATTTTCTCCACCAGTCAGATCACAAATGTTCAAGAAAAGTCACTAAACAAAAAACAAAGCTGCTCAAAGACCGAGAAGTGGACCCTGCTTGGATGTCAGCCATCCTTAACACGGTCCAATTTATGTACCGGAACTGGTTCACTGACCGTCACTGACACTGACCGGTAAATCTTCAGGCACGCACGCCGACTCCACGTGGCCCCAGTTCTGGCGGCAGAACCAAGCCTGGTGTCTAGCTTCATGATGCTGTATCTGATAGTTTCATAGAGTTTCACCATGCCTCACCATGTCTCATTGCTCATGTTTGTTCATGCGAGTTTCATCAGAATATCAGCTAAGCCAGTTGAGAGCACTTGCAACAACAGCTTCTCCTGCCACATCCAACCACTCCCAGCTCCTTTGGCCATGACATTCACCCCAAAATGGCATGGTACAAGACAGGGCGCAGCAGAAGCGCCCAGGACCGTGCAAATGAAGATTTTGGCTATTCTTCCGGACCTCGGTCATCACATGTCATCGCATGTCATCACATTTTTTCACATGTTATCACAATGTTCTTGGCAGACTTGCACAACATCCGCGCAATTCTTGTGAAAATGGATGAAAATGGTTTGTGCATCAAACTTCCAAATGCTTTTGCGCTCTTGCAGATCACTTGCTGGTTTGCATGTTTAATAAATGATTTCCTCAGCTTTGCAGGTAATGCCCTCATGGAAAAAGCATATCTGAGAGCGCACCTTTGACTGCCAACGCAAGATTGGCAAATCAACAAAATAAACAGCGACACGAAGATTCTGCCCAAAAAGGGATGGTAGTGCCGTAATGCCGTTTCGGCCCGATTAAGGGCCGAAGCACCGTGATCATGTCTTTGATTTTCCCGTGGCAGTAAGGGGTGTGGCCAAAGCGCTTTTCAAACTTCGCGGGTGCTCTTTCAAGCGCACATTTGTATACATGTGTTATATTTTTTTGCCAGCAGCATTTAATCAGGGCTTCTTCACATCAACCCCATTTTCCATGGTTTTTCCATGGTTTTTCCGCTACTCTTTTGACCTCGAGAGATTAATTTTGCACACCTTGATGGCCTATATGTAATTGCAAGTTGATCATCCACTAGCCAGCTGCACCCTTGCGATTTCATTCATACATTCTTTACATTCTCTCTCCATATATCCCAAAATTTCCCAGTGCAGCATGAAAGAAAGCCCAGCATCTGGTGATATCTGGTGAATGCCTCGTCCAACACCCTGACCTGAGGGCCCCTGAGTGGGATCTTGACAGGCTGAGTTTCAAGCCCGTCTTGCTCTGCTGGTGCCTCAGCAGGGGACCTACATGGCCTATTGCCTATGACCCACAAAGACTTCTAGTTAAGGCAATACGATCAATACGATCTAGCAAGTGCAAGCAAACGAGTCAACTTTCACCGTGTGAAAACAAAGTCAGTGCTGCATGTTGCGTGCCATTTTCACATTCCATAGTTGTCTTCCTTCACTTCAGTTGCTATCGATGGATTATGATCAAGCTGATCCAAGCCTGGTTTCTCATCTCATACCCAGAAAGTACTGCATCAGCTGCAACATCCTTGGCGCTTTTATGGGCGGCTCTGCCAAACATTGGTCATCGTGGCTCACCGTGGGGGCCCCCTTGAACCCCCTAATTGCTTCACATCCCTTGACATCTTGACCTGAAACACCATGAAACATCACAATGATCACAATGAAACCGATAAACCCATCAGTCTTGGATCCTCTCGGCAGTCCTGGCCTTGTTTTCTCTGCCCCGGACTGCTTTCTGCCTCTGCGGCACGACCATTTTGCACAAAGACCCTTCACAGTTCTTCAAAGGTTAAGTTAACATCATGGAATAATCATGGAATATCATGGATCATCATGGGCTGGAATCAACCAAGAAGTTTGTATCGGACGTCTTTCCATCTCGAAGGCCAGCTTTGTCCAAAGATGCACCAACATGCATCCGATCGGGCAAGCAAACTCTGGAGGGGCATGTCAAATGTTGGAAACGCTTGCTGCCGAATCTGCCGCTGTCTCATGCTGTCTCCTTTATCCTCTTATCTCACGCATGCAGGCCGGATGATGCCGGATGCAAGCTCAAGAGCGGTTTGGAATGTTTGGAGACTCCAGCCTGCCAGCGTGCAGATGCAGCGTCTCTTCTTGTGCATTGCACAACACTAGTGGAACATGGCTGAACACTTTCCACAATCATGTGCGCTGACCGCCCGAACTTGCCGCAACCTGCCTTGCCCAATTTAGGAAGCAAAACGCACAATTCTATAGATATATAGAGAGAAAACAAACAAACTCGTGGTGCAGCTTGCTCTTTTACCTTTTTTTCCCTGACGCCCAAGTCACGCGCATCGTTCTGTCCAATGACCTTGATGAGAGGACGCAAATAATAGTCTTTGGAAAGTGTTGTGCCCACTCTTCTGGCCCCGTCCTATTTTGTGAGCTTCTCACATTCACCCCGTGCGGTGTATAGGAGCTCACCAGGTGAAGCACCGAAGCAGGCCCGGGCAGCACAGTTCGCGATGTCACAGACTGCTCCACGGTGTCCTCCTGTTCAAGGAAAACGCAACATAAAATATATTTACACCAGCCGAAAGGAAACCAATTGAGGGGACAGCCACAAACCACGTGCTTCTAACTTCTAATGTATTCAAGGGTATCGCTGTCTACAGTAGATGCCTGCCGACTTCCAATGGCTTCCGAATGTCTTGGACATACTGTTGTTTGTATACAAAGACTGTTGACTTGACAACTTTCCCTCACAAAATAATTACTTTACTAGATAGTATAGATAGTATAATACAACCCAAAGAGGCGGCAGTCCTCGCATTAAGCATTTGGCTGCTGCATGCAGATACATGCCATCTACCAATGACGGAGTTGCATATCCGACATCGGCACCGTTCTTCTGGATGTCACGCAAAAATGCTTCATCTGATTCTGACTCGTGAAACAAATCGGCCATGGTGATGTTCCAGTATCCAGGAAAGGTCTTTGCCAAGTGATCACAGTAGCGATCTGACACCTCTTCAAGGTAGGAAAAGTTGCTGACGAGTTCAGCTCGAGGCAAGTCGTACCATCCATTCAGAAAGCAATAAGCATCATCCAAGGGGTAATCATGATCACGGATGATTAGAGTGCGATTGTCAGGAAAGCGAAGTGCAAAAGGCGTTGCCTGCGGCCCATTCATATATCCGTTGTATGCCTCTTCAAACCTCACTTGACAAATCAACAAAAATAACGTCGGCAACTAGGGACAAAAAATCACAAGCAAACAAAGTAAAGCAAACTTGAAACAGCTTGTGATGGAAAAATATGGAAAGTGTGAACTGTGAGCTTGATCAGCTTGATCAGCTTGATCAGCTTGATCAGCTTGATCAGCTTGATCAGCTTAGTAGCGTTTTTATGAAAATCATTGAGTCACGCATGTGCCGCGCTATTGCACAGTTGCTCGCCCAGGTCCCTATCCCTCCAAAGGTGCACCAACCATCCTCGCCCAACCGTTCAGAAACGTTTATCACTGGCTTGTACATCTCCTTCGATGCAGCTGCTACAAGACATGGCAACACAGAAAGACTCCGACATTGATTTTTGAAGCTAAGGTCAGGGGATGTTGATAGAAGCAGTCTTGAGGCTTTCATACGCCTTCTCCAATTGATCCCCTGAAAGTTATGAAGGCTGCGGCTATGAGATATTAGCAAGTGAGTCCTGCTTGATCGAGGAAGCTGACTGGCAAACTCCGTTTGCCACGCTAACATTCCACTTGCGGCTCTCTGTCCGTGTCTCTGTCCGTGCGTGGCTGAGACGTAGTCCAGTCTGCAGCAGATGGCAAGAAAGATAGGCCTGACATCGGGGGCAGCCGAACAGCCACAGTCATATCGCCAACATGTCTTTGTCGTGAGAACGCTGTTTGTGATACAGGCCTCATCATCTTCCGCGACGGAAGCCACTATCAAAAGTAGGATACGTAGCACCATAATCGCTGATGGTTTTCAGCTGGTGCAGGAAATGAGCCAAAACATTAGGCTTCCATTGGCACATAGACATCTGCTATACATTGCTATACTGGATCATCCACCGTTTCCCAACCCAGGCCCAAAATTTGGCTTACAAAACGACCTGCATCGACCTGCCAATTTTGAACTCGCTGACTCAGCCCCGAGAGGCACTTTTTAGAAAGGTCAACTTAGGCGCGCAAAAGGCATCCAGGGAGCGTTTTCACTAGGCGACCCCCAAACGCGCTCCAAATCGGGGGATTGTATTGGATTGTTGCGAACAAAAGCTGTCGGTAAGAAGGCCCTGGCTTTCAGTTTTGCAAGCGGACCAGGCTCATCCTCGTAGTGGCCAAACATGGCCAAAATGGCTAGGGGGCATAGAAAAGAACAACAATTCCAACATATTCCAACACTAGAGCAGTTAAGCTGCAGGTCCCACAGGCATTGCGGAAAGAAACTTTTGCAAGTAGGCACTGTAAGAACTTGAGGCTGAACGTTCTAAAGCTACAACTTCGGTAGTGCCCGGTAGGGTGGAGGGAGGGTGCAGCCCCGCAAAGCATCATGTGAGGAACATGGCACCAAGGGACAAGGACCAAAGGATTAGGGGGGATGGGTTGAATTGTTCCTCCAATGTTTCATACTGTTTCTATATAGTTTATTCATGTTTATTCCAGGGCCCAATTTTCCAGGAAGCCATGTCTTTTTATTGCTTCTTTTGAATGTATAATTCCATAAACTAACTCATACTAACTTACCTCACAAAATGTAGGCAGCATCTCCGTTTCCTTTCCACATTAATCAGACGCGTGAAGTAAAGCCTGGGAGGCTTCTTCTGGAATGGACATGCTTGCAAAACCTGCAAGAACCCCAAACAAAATAAGCAACCGCTGAGTAACCGCTCAGTTTTTTTCTCCTGCAACACTGTCCAGGCGTCGGTAGCCTGGAAAATGGCAGGTTCATTGTTGCCATCGCCCTTAGAAAGGTTCAATGATCCAATGAATGAACACAGGCGATTCCTACTGGTGAACCAGCAATACAGCTTGGCTGCTGCTGGTAGTTAAACAGCTGAAGGGGGCTAGAAGGTACCTCAGGATTCTTCCAACCTCCGTGGATGAGGTCATGCATAGACTAATCAAACAGTCCCTCCACCAAAATTCTGCATCGAATCAATCGAATCCTTGTCACCAGTGAAAGCTACCCATGCCGTTTCAGATTTGGGACCTCATCACAGAAGACTACTCTAACACTCCACGGATCTCCATGGATCTCGACGATTTCAAAAGAAGGTGTACCTACAATTTCTCCCGGTGACTGCCCGGTCTTGGGTCTCCTTCATCATCAGGAAAGACAAGGACACATCAATGTCACAATCCACCTTGAAGTTGACCTGCATTCCCAGACTGCTCTCAACCTTGGTTTCCGCAAAGGCCTTGAAAACAAGGGCAGCACGGTCAGCTTCAAGTTCGGATTGAATGCTCTGGACCTTAGATGTTGTGTCAGTAGTGATGATCCCTTTGCTGAGACATATTCGTTTCATTTCGTTTCCACATTGCAATGTGATGTACCCAAGTTTGCAGCCGTTGAGCCAAGCCAAACTGGGAACATCTGGGAACACTTACTGTAAAACACTTAGAGCATTTCTTTACGTGCGTCATCGTGCGTCTCTCTAGGTGAAGTCACAAGGCCCGTCACCATGCTGACAAGGCACATCACCACACAAACATCACAAACGACAATGTCCGGTGACAGGCTCATGCGCATGTGGGCCACAAATGCACGCACGGAAGTGCAAACATGTGCAAAATGCCACTGTAAAATCACGTAACACACACACACAAAATATTCATCCGATCTTTTCACACGTGCACACTATTCTATACTGTTTGTGCATGACGCTCCATATTCTTCGTCATGTTTCTGTTCTCGATTATACGGTAGATGACACAGGATGCAGTAGGTCCTTTCATGCCTGCAGGATTTTTCTTCCTTGTAGTGCATGCAAACATGCAGGTCACACACACACACACTCACACTCACGTGTTCGATCATGTTCAAAGGTTACTGAACATTCATGTCTTGCCTAATTTCAGCAAAGGTTCTTGTATCTCGCATGCTCTTGCTATATCTTGCCAAAAATAATCTATTATACCGCACAGTGATTTGCTGTATCAAGGTGAACCATGTCCTGTATGACTATGCATAGCATCCACCATTGTGCAAACAGCTCTGTTATCTTCTTTGCGATGGCACCAAAGGACCCATTTGCCGATCATCTGATCAGAAGCACCATTATCTTATATCATCGCCTCGAGCTTTGAAAAAAACAGCGTAATTATATCGTTCTACTTCTCATCCATTCAATGGGTGCTGCAAGCGGAGGTGACACTTGCAACAGTGAAGGGATGGATGGAAAGGATCCAGAAATTTTCAGGCTACAATCGAGAGTGATTTGAATGTACAGGTTGCGACTGTTGCCTGATTAAATATGTCGCTGTGTGCAGCTGCTAGTGTTGCGGTCGTTTGTCCCTTTTCTTTGCGGGGTCTCAGTGCACAATACGAATGCAACCGCTCACATGCAATGGAGATTGAATGGTATGGGTGCTATCCTGGTTTCTGTCCAATGTGTCGCGCAATGGCGTCCTTTTCACAGCTATGGCCTGCTATATACACATATACCCGCGAAACCTAACGTTCGCCCAACATAACATAATCGATCACTTTTACCATAATTTTCTGATCTCTCATCAACTTCAACACAGGGTATACTGTAAATAAAATAACAAGATGGTATAAATCTGCCTCCCCCCCTCAAACAATATGTAGAAGGGTATAATCTTATTTGATCTGTAAAGTGAAGTATAATAAATACTGACACCCCCTAAACAATACGGTATAATTTGATATATTATATAATAATGGCTTTACTTTGTCAAACAATATCCGCCATGATGAAATTACTCTGAACAACACAACTTTTCTGGTTTCCCAGCAACTCTTGGCAACAACCCTTCGCAGACTTCGTCGAGGTCCGTGGAAAAAGAGGGTGGACTCCGGGCCAACATCTGGTTCTGTGCGTTATTCAGCTTCCAAGAGTATAGCCGTGTATAGCCTCTTATACAAATATAATCAAATATACAATATAGATCATAGTGTAATAAATGCATCATCCTTGCGAAGCTTACCAATGCCACTAGAGGCAGCAATGCATAATTGCACAGGCCTTAAGAGTTTGCCAGGTTGTTCCGTGCAGCCAAGCAGCAAAGTCTAATGGGAGGTCCAAGTTCATTGTGGCTTGAAGCTTTACGGCACTTTGCGCTGGCACACTGCTCGGCTCCATCTTGCCAGTGCCCATCTGATGACCTTGGTATGTTAAGTGAAGTTGCCCTTCATCGCTGTCACCACCCAACAGGTTTGGATTGAACACCTCAACTTCTGCCACAAAAAGTAGGCTCTGCGGTGCCTCAGCTGCACCATCTGTTAAACATCTGCAATCTTCTGGTCAAAGTCTGGACACATCTGCAAAACTTGAAAAACATGTGAAGGAAATACGCTTTTTTTTTGGCATACTTTGCTGCCAATCTGCGAGATTCAAACTGTCAGATCCAGACACTGCTGTGACCAGCTTGCTCAGCTCTCCAGCCTCGCCATCAAAACAAAGGCCACAAGGGAGCCACAAATATAATGGAACCTTTCTCAACCACATCGAACCACAGAATAGCCACGAATTGCCAGGCCAAGAATACCCGTATGATGATATATACATATATATATATAAATAAGATGTGTATGTATATATATATATTATATAATATGTGTATATGCCCCCATGAAAACCACGTACTTTTTCATTGATTGAATACCTTTTTTTTTTCGGGGTTCGATTCTGAAATTCGTACTCGACCACGCGTGCTCAAGTCAAAAGTGTTCGAATTTCTGGTCTAAATTCATTGGCAAGTGAGCTAGGAGCCAATTGCCAGGTACCGTGACCAAGCGATCTAAATTCCATCAATTCCCATGAACTTGGAAAATCGATCGACCCCCAACTACCAAACTAATCCAAACTATTTTTTTTTCGAGTTGCGGCCGTTTGCGGAAATTTGCGTTCGCTTTGCGGGTGGTAATTTGAACGGCTTAGACCAAAACACAAAAAATGATCATTTTCGGCCAAAACCACTGTGGTTGAGTCCAAATCAGCCCAAATAGCTTTGCAGGGGCCATGCACTATGCACACATGAAAAAACATGTGGTTTCTGAAGATTTGCGCGTTTGGCAAGGAATTAGTGGTCGTTTCTAGAAATGTACTACGAATTGCAAATGCACAAAAAATGCTATGAGCGAGGCCGCAGAAGATCATTACAAGATTTTTAGACTCTAGAATCTAGAATAAAATCATGAAACATCATTATTTTTAGTTGCCATAATCAACAGCATGTCCACAAGACAATTTGTTCGATGGCGATTCCATGCCAGGATGCGTTGACTTGAAGCTTGGTCACTTTCCAGGTTGGATCTCGGGGCCAAAACAGTCCCAAGCAGGTGGCAGTGGCGACTAAGAGGAGTCCTGGGGGCTTGAACTCCGGGCTTGAGCTGCGCCTAGTGAAACTTGGGAGTTCCTGAAGCATCAAATAAGTACATATACATATTATATATATACATATATTCATATATATTCATATAGATTATTGTATATAAGTATATTATATATATATGATTATATGTGCATCATTAAACCATACAGTCAAACGACAAACTCATGCCTAACTCATGCCTGGGTCAAAACTTGCTAGTAAATCACCATGGAATCGCTGTTTCAAGAAACTCATGCCTAAGTCATGCCCAAATCTTAAAACACCATGGAATCCTGTATGTATAAGAAGAATGTTTCCACACTTGGGAAAATCAAAGGTTACTCTTGATGCTAAACACAACCTAAACGCAAGATTTATTAGCAATATGGAAAAGGTACTCTTGATGCTAAACACAACCTAAACGCAAGATTTATTAACAAAAACTATTCCAAAGACCAAATCCAACAAAACATTGCAATTCCTATGCGTTTTACTAAAAAGGCACGACTTTTCAAATCAAGTGCTCCCCAGCTATTTACGATGATTTCCAAATTTTAGGCACGACTTTAGCATTCCACTGTATTCCTTCTGTCATGAATCATCATGATTTATCATTTGCACTCATTTATCCGGAGCTCTAGGAATCCCTTTAGGAGTGTGACTCCCTTCACCTCATCACTGAAAATTCCACACCCCGCCCTTCAGCGCAACCCAAAACTTGAAGTGAGATAAATAAGAAAGAATAATAAAGAGCAAGCAAAGGATCCCAAAGAGACACCGCAACAGCAAAATTTCCGACGATGGCGAGCACATAAGCTTGTGATGCGCCCACAAGTGCCCTTGGCCTTTTCAGACTTTAATTCCAGGTTGCAATGCTCTGATTGCGTTGGATGCTTTCCCTCACTGCGTGAAGCAGCACCAGCCACCCCCCACGTCTCATCCCAAATCTCGAACTCATTGCCTTCAGCAGAAAGTCCGACAGATTGGGCTTGCGGAAGACTAGCGTAGCTTGAATGAGTATGATTCTTCTGCGTTGGGAGATTGGTGGCGTTGACTGCTGCCGTGGCAGCTTTCTTGGCTTGAGGGGCTCCCACATCAGCAAAAGTCACCACCCTCTTCTCCTCTCCAACATCCTCACTGCCCCAACTGGATTGCGTTGCCTGGGTCTTCTTGGGTGCAAGCGTGGGAAGTCTATCCGTGGCCTCCCAATAGTTGCATCTCATCGGAAGGTGCATGGACTTCTCCTTTAACACCTCATCATCCATGTCCGAACTATCTTCAACTTGAACTTCAACCTCCCTTTCGGTGGTGGCAGGTGCCACACCCTGAATTGCATCACATGCAGCCCTGCTGCCTGCACCATCGCTTGGCTGACTCTGCTGCGTGCGACTTCGCAGGCGGCTGTGACTGCTATAGGTCTGGCTGATGGATTTCATGCTGCCAGAGTCAGGCATGTCATCGTCCTCTTCCTCCACGAGCGATGGCTTCATGTTGAGAGGCAGCACCGCACTTGTCTTATTCTTGCTATGGTTTGAGCCAGGCCTGAAGTAATTCTCAAGGATGTTTCAGACTGAGTATCCTCAAACATCAATTTGCATCCGAGGGTTCCAATCAACAACTTGTTTTACTGTAATAATAAATTAAACGAATGTCAACACTGATATCAACAAATATCCACACCAATTGCAGCAAGTAGTTCATTCCATAAAATGACATGGCAGCGCCGTTTGCAAATGAGGGCACCTCTGCAAACTTCGAAGGCAGTCCTGCAAACTCCAATTGTTCCACTTTGTAGTGCCCATATGCTCCATATATAGCATGTTTACCCACAACTGGGTCATTTTTTGGGTAACTTGATTTCAAGATATTATATTTCAATAGTTTTCAATAAATATTCCGCACCCATCCATACATGAGGAATGGATGGCACGTCTTACACCCGAAGAATGCAGGCATAGTAGTGGGGCTCTCATGTGGACTAAAAGATGAATCACTGCTTGCTTGGGCAAGTTCAAAGTTTTCAGTTTGTCTGATCTTGACAAACACAGTGCAAAAACAATGTGCTTACTGGTTCCAGAAGGACAATGGGGACTCAAGGTCAAGCAAGTGATTTTGATTGATATCCTCAATTCCCGAAACACATTCAATATCATTCAATATCATTCAATATCATTCAATATCATTCAATATCATTCAACTTTGCGCAAGCGTATGCCTTTTGAATCCATTTCAGTCAGCAGGACACGAAAAAATTGTGCAACCGCTGTCCTCAACTCAAGTCCGGAGTTGTTGAAGCATGCAGCATGCATGGGGCACAGATGGGCACAGCGTGGAGTCTCTGCTTCAAGGCTAAGGATTTACTAGCATTGATACATCTCAATATCTACATGCCGATACTATCCGATACCATCCGATACCATCCGATACAATCCCATACCAACATAGCATGAGACTATGTTTGGTAGCGATCAAAGGTGATCAAAGGTGATCCGCAAACACAACTCGGGAAACATGTGTGATGTCTGCAGCAGGAGGTGCTTGACGCACTTCGTTTTTGTTCCTTATAATTCCAACCATATTCCAAATATGTTTTGCCATGTTTTGCCTCGACATGCATTGAATGTCAATGACTCTGAAGATCTCAGGAGCATCGGAAGACGGGCAAAAAGCTATTCCGGCACATGAATCACGAGCTTTCAATATTGCTCTCCGTTGAAAATGTCTATCACGCTGATGGAAAGAAACGGGGACTCGAGGTACTCTCAACACTGCAGCATTTGGTGTTTCCACCGGCACCACCGGCATACTCACTGCACTACAGCTGCTACAACATACTGTACTACAGCTACAGATTTCTTCCTGCCTCGTCTCTGGCAGTGTGCTCAAGATTGCCTCAAGCAATCCACTTATATAATCCCAAAAGTTGGAAGGAATAGAGTACGGGTGCAGAATTGTTTTTGGTATTTTTTTTTTACAGTTTTGGATTTTTTTTTGGGGTTCGTGCCTCTTCAATTTTTCCATGGTTTTCTTCAATTTTTCCATGGTTTTCTTCAATATTTCCATAGTTTTCTTCAATTGTTCCATGGTTTTCTTCAATTTTCCATGGTTTTCTTCAATTTTCCATTGTTTTCTGCAAGTTTTCCATGGTGTTCTTCAATTTTTCCATTGGTTTCTTCAATTTTTCCCGGGTTTTCTTCAATTGTTCCATGGTTTTCCAATGGTTTTCTGCAAGTTTTCCATGGTTTTCTTCAATTTTTCCATAGTGTTCTTCAATTGTTCCATGGTTTTCTTCAATTTTCCATCGTTTTCTGCAAGGTTTCTTTGGTTTTCTTCAATCAATCAATCAATCAATCTATATATATATATGTATGTGTGTATGTATGTATGTATGTATGTAGGTAGGTAGGTAGGTAGGTAGGTATGCATGCATGCATGCATGCATGCATGTATGTATATGCAGGGTGTGGTTTAGGGTTTAGGGATACAACATGTAACTAGGTATAATTACATGATTATTTGTTGTTTATGTTGGGATCAAAGTTGTGTATAAAAACAACCACAAATATGTCATATATATATGTATACGTCTGTATATCTATAAGTAAATATGTATGTGTATTTATAATATAGATATATATATACTTATAGTTATATAATTATATAAATATATATATACATTGATATGTATTGTGAATCGGAGGTTATCTCCCCGATTATGTACTGATGTTTGGTCTTGAAGTGGTTGTCTTCAGTGATGACGGCGCACGAGTTGCGGCTTCAGCATGGCGATACTTTCTTCCGGTGCTGCAGTGGTCTTGAGCCAAAGGGGCAAGTTGACGCACCCCTTGGCGGTGGATCCTTGAGGGCTGAATTATGTGGGAGTGTACAGTGTTCCGTAGCCTACACTCTATTCGCACCCCCCACGCGTGGCCAACTTTGTCGGCCACGCGCAAAGGAGTGTCCCTTGAATTGATCCATTACATCTGCAGCTGTTCATTTATTGAATTATGGAGAGCTAAAGTCCGTTCAGAACTTCAAATCCACGTGGCGGCTTGCTACGATCTCTACCAAAAGATAAATGTTCTGTTCACGTGCATGCTGACACGACGTAGTCGGTGTCTAGCATTGAGGTTCATCCGATGTGGCGTAGCCAGCATGGAATCCCACTCAAGCATGTGAATTTAAAAAATCAAACACAAAGATGACTATGGAATTAGAAGTTTACCTTCCCGTTCCTTCGTCGGTTGAGATGTAGACCGCTGTAGAAACTCAGCGTCTCGTGCAATGATGTTCAAAAAAAAATGTGGTTCTAAATTAGCCGGCTCAGAGTCCTCTCAGAAATCATTCGAAATGAAGTAGAGGTAAATCTCGAGCAATGATTGCATCCTCGCTTCGCCAGGTTCAATCAGGACCTATGCAGAGGTCATATCGACTTATCATCTATATCCCCATCCATAGTATCCATCTTGGTTCCAGTCTCCACCACGGTGTGAATAAGATCTTCCACCTTTCCCTTGGTCTTTTCCACCTTTCTGTGGCGGGGTTACTGGAGCTTGTTTTGGCGGAGGAGCGGTTTCGACGGTTCTCCATGTTGCTGACGATGATGCTTTCGCTTTTGACACTCTGCCCAGTGCTGGTGCTGCCTTCGGGGCTGCCTTTGATTTGCCAGCTGCTGGGTTAGTACGTTCACGATCGGCAGGAATCGGGGTATCAGCAATCGCAAGTAGGTGGGCTTCTGTCATGTGGATGCCCCATCTTGGTCGTTGATCATCCCGCTGCTTGATGTGGTTGTAGTCATTGATTGCATCATACAGTCTTTGGAGTAGAGGTCGTGGCAATTGTCGGCCATTTTGAAGGATCAGATGCAAAACTGAAATTCTTCGAAGAGGAGGTCGAAGAGCACACACAATGTCAACTGGGTTCAGTGTGATCGTGTCTTGAAAGTCGACGTTCCTGAAGAAATAAACAGCGTTCACTCTGTATGCACCTGCAATGATTCTTCTGACTAGGACATCTTGTCGGTCAAGGGCTTCGCGGGCGGCTGCGGTCTTTCTCATCTCGTCCCTTGTGGAGTCATGTTTCGACAGTTTCTCCATCTCTTCATCGAAGAAGATATTTTGCAAGTCTTCATATGTATAGCCGCATTCAAGGGTATATACGAGAAGTCGTTTGAGAACTACCGCCCCATAATATGCATTGACGAATCCCTCTTCTCCGATGTCGTCCTTCTGCTGTGGTCGGCCGATTTCCTTGTAGAGCTCTTTCATCTGTTGTGCAGTTGGCTCAATGAGTTCACCATTCTCATCCTCACCCAGATAAGGCACCCTTGAGTCCAGGTCCATCCTGAATTTCTGGTTCTGTTGAAAGTGTTTCCATGCCGTCTCAATGTCTCCACAGAAGTTCCGTTGGAATAGTCTGTAGATCCTGACGATATGTAATCCAATCTGCAACAGGAGGATTTTGATGAGCTCCGGCTGAGCATCTCCAATTGTACAAGGCTCGATTGGTAGGACCTTTGATCCAAATTCAACCCTCTTCATCCACTTGGGATACTCAATCACTGCATCACGAGCTTCTCCAGCCTCATACTCCTCAATGTTGATCTCATCGACCGTTATCTCTTCATCGTCATTTTCGTCGGTCGGTTTTCCTTCCTCATTGAGAAATTTGTCAACCTCATCTTGTTCCCTGAAGTCTCTTCTCTCATCATTGATGTCGCCCTTCTTCGAGGTTTGATCATCATTTTCTTCTTCTTGTTGAGGTTCTTGTTCCGGACTTTTCATGGTGACGTCATCATCATCTTGCATCAGTTCGTCGTCATCATCCTCACCTGTCAAATCGATCTTCACCTCCTCCCATGCTTTCTTGACATGGTCTTTGAGATCTTCTTCACGATGATGTGATTCAGCACTTGGTACTGTAGCCACAGTGATCTTGATTCGCTTCCTCCATCCATGACTCACCAAAAATCCTTTGCACATCACACAAATCGATAGTGGTGCAGGGGTCTCCATCAGACATGCGGGGCATAGTCGATGGTCCTCCTTGCTGGGATGATGAGTGACTGCTAACAATGATATCGCATCATTCCAATCCGGATGTCCTGGGAACAATCTGTGAGTATGACTGAAGTGACCGGTCTTGATATCGACAAGCTTTCGAAGTTCGTTCAGATCGGGTGATGATTCATCAGGCACAATGTTCCCAATGAGTTTGTCAAATCGTTCAATGGTGGCCACCCTTCTTGCTCCTTGCACGGAAAGTACAAGTTGATCTCTTCCCTTTGTGATCATGAGACGGTAGTAGTCCTTTTCCTTCCAATCGTAATACCAAACTGCATCGACTGATTCGAATGGAATTGTTTCTTGGACCAAAATGTGTCCGTCTGCTGATAATCGAGGGGAGAACTTGGCGATGGAATCGTACGTGATGTAGATGTAGACAAGATCAGTTTGTTCGATCTTCCTGAATCTCAGCACCGTCTGACTTCGTACGTCCCACGGTGCGAATGGCACGAAGAACGTATTGATGCGGTCGCCTCCTCCTCCGGGACGTAGTCCTTCTCTGAAGATTTGAGCGATGTTGTCAAAAGTGGTGCAATGAAATCCTCCTCCAAGAGTGTATCCGACTCCAGGGTTCATCTGATAGGAAGTCTTCTTGTCTTCGATGTGCACACCGCCTTGAACTCTTGAATGTGCCATAGGGGCACGGATTGCCACCGGCCAAAGCCAAATCTCTCGATCTGCTGTGCCGATCTCCAACCTCAGTGTGTGTCGTTCAAGTCTCGAGGTCAATCCATCATTGAAGTTGTTCATGATGTATTCCAACTCACCTTTTGTGACCTTGAGTCCTAGCACTTGAGCTCGGATTCTTTTCGTTTGCTTGTACTCAGTGAAGATCACTCTCTGGAAATTGTTCCACCTCTCAACAAGTATCGGGTAGTTGACGTGGGTCGTTCCAGCCAATGTATGTTGGTCTCTCCAAATGTTGTCGTACTTCAAGATCGACTCGACATTGACCCAACCTGCTTCATCGCATGGTAGCCCACGGTGATTTCGATTGTCCTTGACGCAACCCACGGAGTGGCGTAGCGCTGCATTTTCAATCTTTTCGACAATTCGACTATCCATTGCGGATTTTCCCACTTGTTGCCCATCCACTCATTCTCGCCATATCGATGCACCTTACTCCATCCAAATCCAAGATATTCTTCTCCATTGATGCGAGCAAGTTGAAGTGTACCAATGTTGTGGCCATGTGTGAATGGTTGGATGTACTTGAAGTTCCAGTTGTCTCCACGTTGTTTTCTTTCTTCAGTAAGCCATTTCACATATTCATCA